GTACACGTAGTTACTCACAGTTCATGGCTTATGGATTTTTTAGCTAAAAAATCCAAAAGGATTAATATTTAATCCCAGCTATATGAAAAAAATCCTTGCGTCAAAACATTATTATTTAAACGAAATATTTCAGAAATTCAAATTGTCGCATTTGTTTTCAATGTGTAGCATTGTAAATGTTCAAGCGGCTATTACAAAGTGATATACTAACACACGCAAACGCACTGTCATCAGTTCTGTGCAGAAATCACAATTAGCTGATCGCTTGGGATTTTCGACGTTTACCATGAAGTTAAAAATTAAGTCAAAAAGTAATCTATTCCATATTGTCTGCGTCAATCATCAATCATCAATCATTAACAAATCGAAACCGATTTGTTCCATCAGAGAATTTGCATATACAAAATTGTATATAGAATGCTAACGTTTTCTGTTTACTATCGTAAGATAGGTCATCATTTATTTCGGTTTGTTCCGAGGAGTAGTTTATCCAGTAAAATAAACTAACAGACTTACTATATATTTATAATCACTAAAATAACTGCTTATAAGCATTTATTTTCATAGAATACTTGATTGAACAGTGTTCAATATATCGTTTTCAATTAAGCAAATCATTCCCCCTATCAGTTTTTCATTTGATACACCGTTTTTGGATGAAATTGAAAAAACCTCAGAAATTAGAAAACTCTGCAAATTGGAAATGATCTCGGGACATTTCATTTCTAATTTGCGGGGGCGTACTGTATTTGAAACAAACCCAGCTCGTGGCACGTATCGATGACAATTTTCTCTTTTTCGTCCACCACATTTACAGCAACAGCTACTTCTGGATTTGGCTCAAAGTTGATATCAAGATCATGAGCATCATTTGTGTTGCATGTATACCAAATCAGATTGGGCAAATTGAAATCACCTGATACAAGCAGTACATCTTTTTGATTTGCTTTTGATGCTACTTCACGCAATGCATTCATATGGGCTTTATGAACTTCCAACGGTGTATCTGGTCTTATGTAAACTTGGACCAGTATTAAGTTTCTGCCGTTGCATTTTACTTTGGCCCATACTTGTTCAGCACCAAAATGTTCAGCTGTTCCGATACATTGCGGATTGAATGTCTTGTCGATTGCGATAAGAACACCGCCCCAGCCTTTCTCTTGACACGTTGAAACTGTTCAGTGGTAGGTGATCTATCGTATCTGAATACTTCAAAGTTCGGCGGAAATATCTCTAATGAAGAAACATCTGCGTTGAGGTGCGTTTCGCTCAACATGCATGTTTACATGTAAATTTTAAAAATCGCTGCCAAAATTTTGAATTTTGTTCCAAAGCTTTTAAGCATTTTGCCATGTAAAAGTCGTGACGCGATATTTTTCCTTATTGTGAATAAATTTTTACAATAGTGAATGCAAAAAACACTCCTGAACTTTGCATTCAGAGGTAATACAGCGTCAAAGCGTTACTCAAAATGATATCATTCTTTTTGAGTGGAAAATATACGCACGGAGCGTCACTCCGTTTTAACCTCGTCTAGAGGTTTTTCATCTGATATTATTAACTGAAATAATAACATATTATTAAGATGGATATTATTAACTCAATTAATAACATATTATTAATATACAATCTTAATAACTGAGTGTTGTCGAAAGATAAATTTTAGATAGATAAGATAAGATAAGATAATATCTTGTATCTTATCTAGTTAGGAATTCAAAATTGTCGATTATCTCGATATCTTATCTAGATAATTTTTTCATTATCTATCTTGAATTTTCTAGATAATTTCAAAGATAATTCAATTTTCCCATACAAAAATATGAAAGATCACCAAAAGATAATTGCAAAAATAATCTTATCTTTTTACCGTAAAGATAAGATAATATCTTATCTATCTAGATGATATTTATGAAAATTCGGAAATATAAAGATAAGTCTAGATACATTTTACGTTATATTCAACAACACTTTATAGGTGTGTACAGCGTACACCTTACACCATACACTGTACACCCCTTAGTGGAAAAAAATCCATATTAATTTATAAAATCCAAACCTAATAATATGTTATTAATTGAGTTAATAAATCCATCTTAATAATATTATTATAGTTAATAAAATGTTATTACTGCCGAATCTTAGGATTTATCAATATAACTCCCGATATAACGCATAACATGTTATGTTATTATTATGCCAAATCTTGATAACGTTATTAAGAGAAAAAAATTCCAACATAACATAATAATAAATATGTCGGGCAATAACATATTAATAACATATCGAAATTGTAAATCTGTACGGAAAAGCGCTACTGTGGGAAATCGGGAAAATCGGGTAGAGACCCGAAAGGCGATTTTCAAGCGAAAAAACCATCCATTCCTGAGATAAATGGAAAAAACTGACCGATATTTCCGATTTTTCCCCGATTTCCCACAGTAGCGCTTTTCCGAGAGTTTTCAAACCAATACATAGTATTGGGTGTATAACTTTGCTTCCGCCGTTTTTTTCCAATTTTTTTTATTGTGAAAAATTTGTACAATATAATTTATTCAAAGTACTGTCCATCGGAAGCTATGACTTTTCCTCACAATTCAGGCAATTAATGGATTCCGTCCCAAAAAAACTGTGTCGGCTTGGCGGCCAAAAAGGAATCAAGCCAATTTTTGACTTTTTTGAAAACAAGTGAACCTTCCTCCACTTATGCTCAAGACAAGTGCTGTTTTTTTGCTCAGGATAAATTTTCGAAATTTTCCCAATGGGAGCAAAAGGATTTTTGGTCGGTATGGCTCGCTAGGCCGCACCAAATTAGGCCATTTGCCACCATTTATCCGGGTCGATAGTCCCCATAGGTAGGAAAAATTGACTCTCGTATGTGGAAGATTTATCCTGAGCAAAAAAACAGCACTTGTCTTGAGCATTAGGTGATATTGAATCGACTGAAACCAGTGGTAGTAAGAAAGCGCAATGTCTGGAGATTACAGCGGTGGCATAAAGGATTTTCAAAATTAATAGCTTCTTAGAAATTTTGGACTTGATAGCCAAAAAGTCATTAAAAAAATTTCCTCAAAAATTCGCTTTTTTTGCGGCGATAAGTCAATTTTTTGATTTTGCTGTCAGAAATTGGTATATACCGATTAGTTTCTGTTCGGAACGATAAAAGCTAACATTTTGATAAGTTTCTACCACCTTCCAATTTACCATATCTGCCCCACCCCCGCAAATATGGAAAATCACCCTTTTTCGAGGGAGTGATTGTGGCGCCCCCTATAATGACAAGTAACCACGATCAAAATGTGGTTTGATATGCTTGTTTCTATCGAGAAACGTCCATTCTTCACTACCAGTGTCCACTCGATAAAAGAATAATCTATTTTTCACATTTTTCCCGTATGAAAAAAACTGCTCCCGCGAATGCTGTTTTTTTGGCACGAACTCGGACATTTTTGAGCACAATAAAATTTATGATGCAGATAAAAATTTACAAATGTGATGATGCAGAATTGTTGACAGATGTCCAAGCTTACCATATGACGTTTTAGAGCTGATATTTTTCACCAGCACTTACCGCTGGAGCCATCTGTTGGAAAACGGCGGAAGCAAAGTTATACACCCACTAATATTACACAGCAGAGCAGATACAATACATACAATATTACTACTTTCACCAATAGTAATGGTGGTAATTTGATAAATTACCATTGGTGTATGTCAATCATACTCATGGTTTAATTCCCGTTTCAGTGAGTGGGGAAGATTATGGCCGGGGGAGATATGACCGGAAACTCATTTCTGATATTGTTTTATACAAAATAACATAAAGGAGTCAAACGGACATATATTTTGTCCGTTCGTCCGTCCCAAATCCATAAATGGACAAACAAAATAAAATTGTCCGTCCTAGAATCCGAAACGGACAGGACAAAACTGAATTGTCCGTCCTAAATCCCAAACGGACGGACGAACATGGGAAATCCTGTCCGCTGTCCATCCTGTTGACTACTTTAGATTTGCCCACATATTATTTTAATCCCTTTTGCATTTGTGGGGTTGGGTGGGTACTCATATATAATTTATCTACACACAATGCCCTTTAATATGGTATGCATCACAACTTTAAATAAAACATTCCAAAATGGGATACAGTTCTTTACCCCGAGTAAAAAATACCACTTGTCTTAGGTGTAAGTGCGTTGAATGTTCAATGAAAAGTATGCGTTAAATGTTCAATGAATTAGTTGAAAAGTTATTGCTTAATGTTTGTGTTTTAGGAAATTATTGTTGTAACGTTTGAAGTTTATCTAACAACTCTTATGTTTCTTACTGTTTACACGCGGAAACTAGTGCTTGAAAAAATTAAGTGTGTTGTATTTTCGGAACTGTAAGGGTAGCAATTCAATTAGTTTTTGTTTGTTTGGTTTTGGTTTGTATTTCAACGGGTTTAATTTGATTAACATTGGTTGTCAGAGTGTCAGGAAATTCTTACATTGAGTTGTTCTAACTGTGTTGATTTTATAAAAATCTGGTTTTTACGATTTCTTCAACTTTGGACCCTTATATCTTCCAAACGGCATCTGAAACATTTTTGAAATCTTACGTCCCGTCTTACACTAGGTAGAATGGATTTTTAAAACTCGAGCAATTCTGAACACTGTATTGCAAATTTGGAACCTGGCAAAAGAATTTATCGCCATCTAGGATATTCAGTTTGCTCACATCTGTTCACTATTTAGTGATGATTAGGAACGAGTGGGATAAAGTCCGTACACGCAAATCGTCAGAATTTAAACAAACGCAGGAGAGAATACTTCAATTGAACTCAAATCACAATAATATAATACAATTGAATTATATGCTGTAGAAATGACAATATCTTCTAACAACGGGAAAAATGTTGTACGAGTTTGCTCCTGATCATGATTTGATTTTTCTGATTGAATTTTATTGGGAACTATGAATATTTGTATTTTCAAGAGTTTTTACCCACCAGTTGGTCTTCAGCTACTATCAGCGTTAATTGATCTACCTATTAGATTTTCAATGCTAAAATATTTCGCATTCCGAATGTTTGTCGCTTTTTCAGCTAAATCAAAATTTCTTTCGGCTCCTTGTGAGGTATGGTTATAGTAATTCCAATTTTGTAAATTTGGTTTATCAATATCATCAAAATTATCTGTCAATACGTCACCTGTTTGTGATTGTATTTTTTGTAACAATTCATCAGATTTACTACTATTAGAAATTTTAGGCGACGGATTTCTTTCTCTTAATTGATTTTGAAATGACTGGATATCGCTGGTAGATTTCAAGTTTAAAGTTATTGTATTTTCAATCCCCTCAGTGTCTGACAAATGGGTGTTATCATCTTCTACATTGATTTTCTCAGACGGTGTAGCAGGGTGATATTGTTCATTCTGTGTTGCTGATTCACTACTAAACATTTCTGACGTTATTCGTGATAAATTTTCACTCGATGTTCTGAAAATTGATTTTCGATTGAAATTCAAGAACAGGTCATTTTTATGATTAACCGTATCTATTGTATGGAAATCAATCTCGTTTATATTGCGCGGATTATTTCGTAGAACATTGATATTATGTCTCAACAAATCAATATTGGCCGGATTCATATAAAATGCATTTTTCATGGATGTGTCTCCAGCGGCGTTAGTACCACGTATGTATGATGTTGAATGATTTTCTTTGATAATTGTTGAATCATTTGCAGCCGCAGCCATTAAGTCCAAATTTTCTTGTAGACCGTTCGACAGAAAGCTCCCGACGCTATTTTCAATGTTGAATTGAATAGGGAATATTGGAACTGGTTTTCTGACCCAGAACGGATTAAATGGTCCAAATACTGAAGCTGGAAATGGCAATGTGTGATCAATTGTTGTACGTTTATAACGTTTTCTGCGACGTAAGAAGCTACCATTATCGAACATGTCTTCAGCTAATGGATCTAGGGTCCAGAAATTCCCTTTGCCAGGGTTCCCCGGTTCTCGTGGAACTTTAATAAAACAATCATTTAAACTTAAGTTATGCCTGATTGAATTTTGCCATGCTGGGAACTTCTCTTTGTAGTATGGGAACCTATAAATCAAAATGAGAAATTATTATTATTATTATTATTATTATTATTATTATTATTATTATTAT